GTACCGCTGTTAAAATTCCACTTGGAAATTTTTTTGTCAATAATTTTTAACGAAATTGTGTTATATGTTATCTGGATTGATGAGAATTCTCATTTTCTGGCCTGTTATTTTGGTGTCCGCGTCATGTAATCTGACTGCGACACCCACTAGCATTGTAACGCAATAGAAACCAATATAATGCCACTAAACAAGTTTCTTTTTCAGAAAGAAACGTCAACGTGGCATCACTAGAGCAAGAGGAAGATATGCTGAGAAATGCCTGCATGCATTTCTTCCATCTCGGATAGTCTGAGGACAGCTGCAACGTTGGAGGGCGGGGCAACGTTGGCACAGTGGGCGAGGTGAGTTCACTGTCTTCTGGGAATAGCTTGGGGAGGCCGTAATCTGATGATGAATCCATATTGGTGTCGGAGGTGCTCAATTCGACAGTCAACATGGATTCATCATCAGATTACGGCCTCCCCAAGCTATTCCCAGAAGACAGTGAACTCACCTCGCCCACTGTGCCAACGTTGCCCCGCCCTCCAACGTTGCAGCTGTCCTCAGACTATCCGAGATGGAAGAAATGCATGCAGGCATTTCTCAGCATATCTTCCTCTTGCTCTAGTGATGCCACGTTGACGTTTCTTTCTGAAAAAGAAACTTGTTTAGTGGCATTATATTGGTTTCTATTGCGTTACAGCATATTGGTTGCAACGATCAGTGTTTCAGGCGAACTGTAGCAAAATATCGCTATAGTGAGAAAGATAGGATAGTTGAAGGGTAATTTCATCTACACAAATAGTCTACTTTATTTAGATGCTCCATTTTTCAGCATGGTATCATTCAATGGAGACTTCACGTCTCAGGATATTAATTCAGCCTATTTTCGTGTGAAGAACAGTCCCTTTTGACAAAAGAATTCTATCAGTACTTCGAAATCACCTGTAAATGCTAACAGAACCTTCTGTGGGAATAGAAGTAATCATGTAGATGTGTCTCACCATATGTATATTTGGACAGGAATTATCGTAAGTTGAGAGGTTATTTCTAAGTGGATTTCATGTATATTTGCACTGTTTGGTGTAGTGTAATAGGAGTTATGTGGACTCAATGTATAAAAAATACCTCAACTTTATTAATATTGTGCCATTGTCTGCTTGGCTGGCAAACGTAGGTGGTTGTCATGATTATTGTAAGTGCAGTGCAGTGGAGCAGGCAATCACTCGTCTAAATTTCCTTACTGTGTCACTTAGTGCATTAATTCAGTGTATAGTATTATTACACACATGGATTGTGTCGATTATGAGAACTGAATCTAGTCAGCTCTATTACTATCAATCTACGGTCTGTTATGCCATCCTCACTGGCACTGTAAACTTAATGCTGCAATGTTTTTGATCACCAGTAGTGGTGATGAATTTTTCCTGAATTTTCCATTACCATGAAACAGTACAGATGCAGTGTCACGATCGAATGTCTAGGTTGCATTATATGACATTGTTATCCTCATCGACACAACAGGCCTGCGTATCTTACAATATTTTAAGTGTTTCTCTATGCTGCTAACACTGTGCATAGCTGCTTAGAGTTGAAGCATGTTCAGCTTATATTTGATGGCTATAGATTCCTAAATATGAGAATGTAATTTCTGTAGGATTCATAAAACTATGCTCATTAGACATTACTGAGATTATGGATCAATTTCTAAGTTACACATTTGCAATACTTCATTTAATGTAAACGTATTTAGTATGAAGTTGATCTGCAACTAAGGTTAATGAGAGTATGACGCCTCAACAGTATGGAAGCTTCAAAGGTTGTCTTGATATTTGCGTGTAATCCTTTAATACTGGAAAACATTTGAGGTCTATTGATGCTTATAGTGCCAATATAAAAACCAGCTGTAAACTACAAATACATTTATTTGCATGAGATATTACTTAGTATTAACAGAATCAGTGTATTCAGTGTGTGCTAATATGTAGAATTATCTTTCATAAATTCATCTTGTGCTAGTCCTTACATGTGCTTTATTTTTTTCAGGTATACGGAAGTTGTCGAATATGAAACCAGCGGAAATATCATCCGGACAAACTAACGTTAATACTCTTCATCGGGATTTTCTTTTGTAAATTAATGAAATGTTTAATATACTCTTCAATTCTACTTCCTCTAGACTTTTTCAGTGCGTCGCTATACTATGTGCTTTTGTAATAAGTGAATTCGGATCAATGCATGTTAAGCTTAGTTAGAGGGATGGAGATTTACTATAGCATTATGAGACTGTTACTTTAGCACTTCGTAAGATTTCGTGTCTGTTTCTATACAGTAGCACATTGTAAAAACTAAGTAAGATTTAGCAATTTAAATAATAATTCTGTACTGTTCGATGCGCTAAAATCGCCTTATCTAGCCAGTTGCAATTCTGTACACTGTTAAACGCCAAGTATGAAGTACAAGTAAATTTAATGACTTAGGCTTGACAGCTACTTCACTAATCTGTTAATATGCAGTGACATCGTCAAATAGACAGATATCCTCTCACATATTTAATGAATCTTTTTCCAGAAATGTCGTGCCAGCCGTTTGGAAGGACTTTAAAATTGTACCTGTACCTAAGTCGTCTAATGGAACATGTTTTAAATTTAGACCTATTGCTATTACCTCCCCTTTTGTAAAAGCTATGGAAAAGTTACTCTTACTTAATCTTCAACCTTCACTTAAAGCCTTTAACGATCTCAAATGATTCGCCTATAAACACAGTAGAAGTAATTTAGATGCAGCTGCAGTCTTGCATCACAACATTTTCTCCATTATAGTCGTCCAGTACCAATTGTATTTTTGTTTGACGAACTTAATGTACATACGCATACGAAATGAAATATGTCAAGTGCGCGGACTAACTATTCCGGTGTCTTTTAATTCGCATCTACACTGTACTAAGATGAACAGCTCTCTATTAGTAGTCAGGAAATGCTTTTAAACTAAATCCTTCCAAATGTCAGACTGTCAATTTCAGTTTCCGAGAAAGTCAGGTGAAGCTGTTAATTCCTATGACCGTTGCAAAATTGGTGACAGTGATATAGAGCTCAAGTCTGACTTTAAGTATCTCGGACTAATTCATCAAACAGCGTATTAGCCTTAAATGTATATCACACGCATGCATGAGCTAGGTATGCAAACCAAGGTAAACGCTGATATAAGTATAAAACTTGGGCACTGTGGTAGAGTATAACTCCATTATGGATAAGATTTTATTTTGATAAATCAGTGTTGCACAGTTATATTAACTGATGACGTTTCGAGCACAAGCGCACGGTACACTCATTATTTAAAAACTAACTCATGTGAGAACTACGATTTGACCGGCTTTACAACGTTTAATATATTTAGACACAATAGATATACACTGCTTACTTCTATGACGCATTACCTAAAGCTACCCCCTTGCTACTACCTAAGTGAGCAACTCAACGTTATCTTTGAATTACAAAGTAAAAGCGGACATCCTGAGAGCTTTCTGGGCAAAATTATCGTCTCCTAGTCGAAAAAATAAACATATCCTAATCTCTTCACGAAAGCGTTTAGAGGTATTTATCCTATCGCCTCAAATGACTCACTATTTGCTGTCATTTAAAAAGTAAAAATAAATTTATCGAAGGCAGTGTGCTTATGGTTTCTAGATATCATAATGCACCATGAGGAAAAAGCTTTATTCATAGGGTTATAGCAATTAGATGCGCGATATAAATCCGAAACTCAACGACTACGATTCTCAATCACAAAACATTCTACTTTGCTACCTAATCGTCTCAATAGATGCTTCGCCAAGAAACAGAAGACCACTGGTTCAAGGAAAATTTATTTAAAGTTTTCTTATAAATCATGGGCAACCGTGTTTATAACCACGGAGAAATCACAAGCATCCGAAAAATAGGAATTTCATTATTTGAACGGAAACAAGCAATTTGTAACCAGCCAGTTTTTTCACCCCGAATAATAATCAGCTTCTCAGACGGTTGTAAATTCGAAAAAACCACCGTTTGTAGACCAAAATCCGAAACGTTATACTTGCTAGTTAAATTCTTACCGAATGAATACTCACCAGATCATCGTATGTTATCCGCTTTTCAAATCCTTTTGAAACAAATAAAATGGTTGTTAACACCGCGTTTACTACAGGCAGTCCTAGTTCGTGCGTTTGGATCTAGTACACTAGGCATTAACAATCATTCAGGGATTGCCTATTGCTTCCTAATTTTGCTTCCAAAAGTATATACAAACACCACACATTCATGCTTCACATTTGGCTCATCCTTGCTTGATTTTGATTCTCTCACAATATACCTGATTTTTTAGCTGACAACAGACACCTTGTCGAAAAGCTTCAAAGCTTTTTAAACTTCCAACCAGGTTCTAAATTCTCTAGGTTAAATTTGTTCTTCGAAAACTTTGCTAATTTCAACTCTGATCGTGCTCTCTTCACCAGATCCACTCGTAGTTGTTGCATGCTGTAAACATGACGTGAAAGACATTTTTTCCAGATTCCTACATATTAAGTAAACAATTGAGCAACAATAACGGCAACCAACGAATGAACTGGAAGCAATGGCTTCTGCTTCCCAAACATGTTCACGTGCATAATCTCCGAGATTTCTACACAGTACTAATTCATTAATAGCTGAAAAACAATTAAAACACTGAAACCATGCATGAATGCAACGTATGAAACAATTACAATGAAACGAATGCACTGACCTGGTGGTAAAATCTTTCGAAACAAACGAAATAACTAATTTTAACAGAAACGGTAACAATAATGAAGTGAGACGCGACATTTGTAAACAATGTGCATCAAGATAAGTTGTGAATAACTGTTGGATAAACGGAAAAACCAATATGTAAATGAACAGCTACGGAAATGCAATCCAACATGGCCGACTAACATGGACGAAAATGACCTTTGAGCGTCTCACTCCATAAATGACCTTGTACGTGACGTTTAATTTCTGCCTCTTACGGAACATTGAACTTGTCTGGCAGTCGACGTATGCATTAGCTCGTCGTTTAAATGATGCGTTACAATGATTTCACATATGTTTCTGGTAATGTTTATTGGACATTATGATTTCACCATCCACGGTGTATTTTGGTGACACCTTTGTTCATAATCAATCAGATAAGCAACGCGGGAGCCAATATGATGGTCTTAATGGTCATGTGAATTATGTGGATAAGGTATGTTTATATTTCACTTTGGTGAAAACACCTGGTTATCATTTTCATATTTAAGCAATAACTTTTATCTTTGCCAACTTTAAACAGACTGCTTGAAAACAATACTTCAGTTTGCAAATAGACGTTTTAGATGAGACGGAAGTAAAATCTTCGCAGATTGTGAACACCATTGTAAGAGAACTATCATAAAGTCAAAATGAAATTTTATACCTTTGGACATTTACCTGAGACTCTTGAGTTTCATGATAGGGTCACTGCGTTCTCTTAAGTCCATCTAAAGCAAGATGGGAACTAGTTTTCAGTCTTACTAAAGGTAAGTGAACACTGACTAGTGTGCAATCAAAAATATCCAATACAGTCCTACAGGAGGTCAATCGCGGGCCTGAATAGCTCAGTGGTAGCGTCTCTGACTGCAGCACTGGGTGACGTGGGTTCGAATCTCAGAACGGACATGAGTTCCTTCAAGGCAGTTGCAGATACGCCTTGCTGATGAGTGCCAACTAGCACGAAACCTAGGTCCAAGGGTTCCTGCCGATTGCCTCCAACCATCTATTACCAACAATTCACAGTGCACCGTAATGGCGAGCCACCTAGCATGGTAGCCACATTGCAAGCTTGACTGATAGAATTCAGTCTGCAGCGAAGATAGGACTAGACGCATAACACTAGTTACTGACTAGTGTGCAATCAAAAATAAGTGTACACTACCCTGAATGTTAAAAAAATTTACTACATGGATGACAGTTTAGTACTGAAATTCACGTTCAATTCATATGACTAACCATCTTTTTTTGGTTCTTATTCCGCATATTTCTCAAATTGGATTTCGTATATTTTAGATTGCTGTCGCTCTATTCCAGCTGCACATTTTCTGCTTTGGTAAAATTAGCTAAGATTCTAACACATAACCACATTTCTCCGATTATAGTGTTTTGTGATCCGTTTATCTTTCTGATTTTGATCATCATTCCTGTCCAAAATCGCAGTCCTTTCAAATGACTAGCCATCTTGTCAAGCTTCTCCAACATAGGCATGTCTTAGCAACTCAAATTAGTCTACTATTTACTCATTAATCAAACGCATAGTCTTCCCGAAACTCGTTATGCCAAGTCAAAACAGAATACGCGATTTGATTTTCTCATAGCCCCTGTGGTTCTTGTTGGTTTTCGGTTATCTGCCAGGTGGCTGCTGTAGTTTAACTTTCCAATATTTATTGTTTGCTATACATACTAATATTTATAAATACAACCACAAAATCACTAGTTTGACTACGGTCTACTCCTATGTTCAGTAAATGGGTATTAGCGATTTTTACACTTTCGCACTGTATAATATTAATTGGTCACTATAACTTCATAGGAAACTTATACTTCTTTTGTCAAAGTATAGAAACTGAAATTTTTTGTGCTATTTTTTTCTTTTAGAAGTCCTTTGGGGACTCGACAAAACTGTTGTGTGATGCCTATTTGCAGAGGAAACCTACCGACCACTCCTGCGTCACGGGTTCTTACAACCAATTGTCTGATGGCGGTAGCAGCTTTGTTGGTCTTTCTGGAAGTCTCGAACGCTTTGATGAAACTATAAGTTACATGAGCAAGGAATTCTCTCAGCTTGGACTCCTACTTAGTTCATTGTTGACTACTTCTGCAGATGGATCATCCACATATACAATGAAACCGGAATTGCAGACATGTTTTGATAGCCTGGCTGAACGCTTTCAGATGGTTTCTAGGGAAATCGATCTTATGAAATCCCAAGTGAGGGAAAATTTTATTTATCATTTTTCATATTATTGGCGAAATTTAATAACTCTCCTTGCCTATCTGTAATTAGGAGTTCCTCATGTATTTTCATTTTGCTATCACGGGTGCAATGTATAATTTTCATGTTGCCGAATGGCGAAACCATATGATTCGTTGATGTATGTTCATTTCAAAAGTTCGCTAATATTGCATACCAACAGTACTTAAACTTCTAACAATCAGGATCCTCTTCGATCCTTTGGATAGCACTTTTCTTTGCAACTGTCTGTTAGAGAGCAGCTTCCCTCAAGAGTGTACCAGTATCTTGAGACCCTTTCACAAAGGCACTCAGGTGAAGTGAGACCATATAACAAATGCATATTGCCAGACTTCTATAATCGCTCTGTAGAATAATACTGGCTATCTTTCTGCATTACGCGATTTCAAACTGTTCCAACAATTCACCTAGAGGAGGCACATGTACTAGGTAAAATTTTTGAAATCTTTTCACTTCAGTCATGCAAAACACGTGACATTGGTCCCGAACTAGATAATTGCGATTCGGTAGGATCATGCTCAGACATGCCATCAAATATCCAAGATTATGGATCCCTTCCATGCAATTCCCAACGATATATCTCAGTTAACTTGTTTATATTGATGTTAGTGGAGGATAAAGATATCAAAGAACACTCTTTAACCCCATTTCTCTTCAAGGAATTATATAGATAGCTGTTTTTTCACCTTACTTGAAGTATTTTTGAATCGCATATTCAATATGTTGCTATTCTTCTCTAGGACCCACCTTCATGACAAACTACCAGGCCTCCATATTTCAAAGTTTATCGATTGTTGACCGGAAGTCCATCAAAAGAGTTTTAAGCTGCCGTGAACACATGTTCAGTACATCCATGAACTTGAGAATATTCAGTTGTCTTCTTGCGAATCAGTTTCAAGTGTCTCGCAGTGTGTATAGTGCAATAATTGACTAACAAATCAGCGTAGGACTTGGCACAAAAATGCATAAGTTCAAGTTGCTGCAGTGTGGAAGGAGATAATGTATGATAACAGGTACTTGGTACCGGTGTCCAAATAGTTTTCACACAGGTTACATAGACTCTTTTTAAGGGTGAGCATATTGATGGCCTCATTGTAGAGTTTTGAAATACTCCATCAACAATGTATTGTTAAGCAAGTTAGCTGGGTGCTGACTAAACTCTCAATTTTACCCTTAAAAGGTTTGTTAACCTCTTAATTTCCACTTTGTTTAGATTATTCGTGGGTATTCAATTATATAGCTCAAAGTACCTGCTATGGTCATTTGGGATTTAAGAGGTTTCATTCGACACAGTAGAAAGACAAGCTTGAGATGTTGGTGTTTAACGGCTAGAAGTTCATACGCTGTTTTTTGCATAAGATGTGTAATACCTACTCTTTTCTGCTTCCTTTATCGGTGGATTACTAAGTTTATAATGAATTCAAGCATACAGTTACCTTTTGGTTGCCTTTCTAACCACACAGTATACTGTGAATTCAATAAAAACTACTTATTGGTGTTAATATATTCTGCTATTATGGGGAGTTTTAGTCATTACTTGCTGTTTTGTAGTCAAAGCTCATACCCCATTCTGGAAAAAATCATTGCTCAACGTCACCTCTAAATTAATTCTCCATGTTTGTTTGTGGACCTTTAATGCAATAGTTTTAAGGGAATAAAATATTGTTTTATTTTTTTTAATAATGTTAAGTATGCGGTTGGTTTCGTTGTTTTTGTTTTTCGTTTTCGAACGTGAAAAAAGGTTGAGCTGGAACGTAACGCAAATATTATGCGATTAAGATCTATTTCTAGTTTAAAGTCCACTCTTGAAGAAGCAGAAAGCCAGCTGGAACAATCACAAAAACTAGAACTTGAAATAAGCAGTTTACGCGAGTCTAATAAGCTTATTAAAAAACATTTTTACAAATCTAAACAAAATAATTACTCATCAAAATCTATCCAAGTCAACCTGTTGGATATTATTTTCGCTACTGAATCAATAAACAGCTGTCTAGAACAAAACTATGGTCGCAAACTTAGTAATCACAATGAAGGAATGTATGCTGTTTGGTCTAAGCAACAAGTGAAACAGACTGATTCAATGTCTTCCTTCTTTAATACACTGAACACATTGGGGAAAATTTCAGATCCGGTAAATGGTCTTTCCAACTCTGCTTAGTGTTTGTCCCACCGCATGTACTCTATAATTAGTGTATAGTGTTGTATGTTTTGCGTTCAGTTTACTTACCTTGTGAGTGTTGTTGCATTTAGCCTGTAAATGTTGTCGCCATTTTTGTTGATTGAAGTAAGTACCCATTGTGTAATAACTTCTGTTTTATTGTCTTTGTGTCGTGCTTGTGGATGGTTAGTTGTTATACCGGGATTTCGTGCATGAACTTTTCCCTCATTTAACTTCATATGAAATTTACTTATTAATTTTCTTTTTTATTACGTTTCTTCATTCATCTCTAGTTAAAAGAGACATGTATCAATGATTTACATCAGTCTCCATTGCAAGAGAAATCTTTGTATGATATATCAAAAATAAAGGCTCAAATGACATGTCACAATGATAATGGTTCCTTCAGATGCATACGTCGAAGTTATTCTCTGGATGATAACCGATACGAGGCGACTTCTGGATTACAGCCTCTAAACAATGACGTGATGCAGATTTACAGTTGCTTAAGGCGATGTTTAGGCTCTCATGCTTTCGATGGTCGAATAAGTGTAACTGTTCTTGAAAAACTATTCAAATCTTTTATGACTGGTGGAGGACCATCGGCATTCAAAGAAATATTTACTTCTGATTTATGTGACTCGAATACTAATCGGGAGATCAATGGTGGTTCTGCACAAGAAATTAAGGTAAGTGCTTCTGTAATAGTTAAAAATTAACACATATATCTGGACATTTGTATTGAAATTCTAATAGATTTTGTTACTTAATGTAGCATTCTAAGGGTTCTGTCCAACAGGGTTTGTCAAAGACACTCCAAGATTTTCTTGTAAATCTAGTAAATATCTGCAATGAGGGTTATTAATAATTTAGTCTGCAACAAGATACTAATGTTACGCAAAAATCACATTGTCAGTAGGTTAACACCAGGCAGAAGAAAAGGAATCATGTATTCACTTGACACGGTATATATGGGAACTGTGGTCGAGTCGGTGATCATAGTCTATGGCTAATTGCTTGTTAGGCACAAAAATGCTTTAAGCTGTTGACGGTGAATGTAATTCTATAGAATATAATGTATATCTCCACATATCTTAATTTCTAACGCAAATTATTTCTCCCATGTTGAATGGTAAACGATTAATTTTTGTTTGGAGTTTAGCGTTAATCCGTCTTTCTCTCTTTCTCTCTTTTAATATCATAAACTGTCTTTGCTGTGAATAGTTTCCTGTTAGTCAGGAGGTTGAACAGTAATCATTATGTGCATATACGCAAGATATGCTAACTGAATTACTGTCTTGGGTTCGCCTATGCCTAAAGCTTACGGCGATTAGGTTTCATTTGATGGTAGGACTCATAAATGGTTGAAGATAAGTAGGAAATTTATCGACACCTCAAGTCATCAGTTACACTATGTTAAATGACCATATTACTTTTTCAGTAATTATTTTCCCTTGGGAATTCTTCTTGATTCAATGTTCAGTGTAGAAATACAATTGGCTTTTTGAATAAACGACAGGTATCTCTCATGAATTCAATTTACAATTTGCAGTTTACACAGTTTTAGGTGGGATTTAATTACACTTCCCTCTAGAAATCGAAATTTTGTTTCTATTCGTTTACGTCCCCAGTAGAACATAGGGCCTTGAGCTAGAGGCTTGAAGTTTCGGTAGCGGTAGTGTTTATTTTTACGGGATGGGGTTGCTAACCTCATTCCCAACCTTCCCTCTTTACCGGTTTTATTACAACGACAGAAGACAAGGGCCAGGCAACAGATCCTTTATTGAGGAAATCAAGAGATATTTATAGATTTTTATGTACATTACTATTAGTGTTATTGTTAGCAGAGAAGCAGCGCCTTCTGATTGATCGTTTTCTTGCTGAAAGTTATTCTGCCATCTCTTTGTGGCCATTTCTTTGAAGGTCAGACCCTATATCTGCTATTTGTATCCACCCACGCAAAGTTTGTTGTGATTGGTAGTTGAGTTGGTCTTTGTTCTTGTTCTTTTCTCATGACCAAGATTTGGGACGTAAACATTGACATAAATTGCTGTCTACCAATTTTGGCTAGCTGACAGCTCTCACCACGCTATTACTGGCTTAGCGATGTAAAGCAGTGCGTCGGTAGCCGGAGATTGAACCCCGAACCATCTGTGTATTTGGCGAGCATTCTACCTCTGTACCACCGACGCACAGGTTACTCAGATTAAAATGTGATCCACTTGAGACCATGAATGCTAATTAAGGGAACAAGCTACTTGGGCAAACTGGGCTCTCTTTTTCAGTGAACCATTTAACACATCCTAGTTAATGATCTTGTATTTTGAACTAATAACCGACATCCAGCTCTGATGCCCCTCATTAATGAAAGGAGAAGTCGAAATAGGCTGACTGCAAAGTATGGAACCTTCCTTTCTAGTCTACACTGGTCATTTACTAGAAATGGTTGGTGGCATCACTGTTTTAGTAGTATTGTAACAACAGAAGACAAGGGCCAGGCAACAGATCGTTTATTAAGGAAAATCAACACATATTTATAGATTTTAATGTACATTATTGTAGATTATTGTTAGTAGAAAATACAGTCTTTTGATTGGTTGTTTCTGACAGAAAGTTAAGCTTGCATCTCTTTGTGGCTGTGTCAGATCATCCATATGCTAACTGTATCCGCCTACGCAAAACCTTTGTTCTCATTTCTCATCACCAATATTGGGGACATAAACATTGACGTAAATTACTGTCTACCGACTTTGGCTAGCAGCCAGCTCTCACTACACTATCAGATATTAAAGCAAATACTAGATATACCATATCACTGATTATTTTGAGTGTTTATTTGCAAGATCATCGCAATAAATTATGATTAATTATCGTTACGATTAAATTGCTTGATAATCTGTGATCATTTCAGATATCTGGGAAGTTATGCAGTAGCTATTGTATTATTAACGCGTATCAAGGATTTTGGGCCAGCTGGGGTACAAACAAATTCACTGACATCTACACGTCTACTGTTCAACATTTTCTGTCTTACTTTCTAGTCTGAAAACAACCTTAATGTGGTTTTTTATGTGATAAAACGGCTTCAAATATTCTTGAGACATTCATCAACTATATTTGCAGTAGGAGTTTTACTATTGACCCCGAAAATTCTGTCCCGTTTTAAAGATTGTCTTGCATTCTGTGTTATTATGATCAGTCTTTAATTTCCACTTCACTTTAACATTTTTCTTCATTTCTAGCAACTGAAAATTCCAAATGACTCTCACACAAAGGCTTTAAGTCTTGACGAACTGTTCGAAAGTAAAGATTTACGGTCACAGTTAACTGCCTGCTTGAAAATTGTCTCCGTGTTATACAATCGTCTTTCAACTGATCATGTACAATTAGCCTCGTTAATGAATCAATTGAATCAATGCAGTGATTCAGTTTCTGTGACTTTATCAACAGCAGCAAGTCAATTGGTACCTGGTCCTGAGGTTCTAGATGTATGCTCAAATTTGACATCAGCTTGTAACCAGTTGAAACATGTTCATTCTCTTGCTTTGCAATGTGAACAAGAAACATCAGATACTGTACAAATTATTTATGCATTTCAGCAAAGATTAGAAGAAAGCCTAAACACATATGATGTTAAAATGCGTGAGACTGTTGCAAGTGCTAAGCATACTTCTGTTCAGACAGATTCTTTGACGAAAAATGAAACACTGAAGCAATCAGCGCCAGATAGTTTAGAAAATACTGGATGTAAGAACTCTACAGGAAAAGTAGTTAATTATGAAACTGTAAGTATTTAATATTTTCAGGTATTGAGTTTTTTATAGGGTTTTGTAGTGACCCCTTTGTCATTGCATATTTTATTTTTTGTCCGCATAAATCATGAGTTTACCACATAAAGTGATTTAAGTAAACTAATACTAATTAAGTAAGGTGTCTTTAGTCTCTCAATGTTGATGATCACAGTTTCTACTTTGTGCTGTTGTTTAGCATCGATCTATACTCTAAAGACTTGTTTTCCTGTTGTGTGTCTGGTGCGGAATTCAATTGTAGTTTGATTTAGGTTCAGTTGCAGGTTACAACGCGGTATGATTATGCTAGTCAGTATGCCTGTATTACATTGGAAGTAAACCTACATAGCTTACGTGTAGAATGAAACAAATATGTAACAGAATAGTTAACAGGATCTCTGTAGTTTTTTATTTATTTATTCAAACTACATCGTTTGTGCGAGGGCTGGGATGCTCCTCCGACGCCCAGACCGAGGAAGGTGGTTGGTTTAAAGCACCACCCGTCGAGCCCTTGACTTGAGGTCTGATCCTCAGGACAGTGAAGTTGCGTTCCCATGGTTGCCGGTGGCCAAACCAGATTCACACGCCATTCGCTCCAATCGGATTCTGGGGCCTATGGACACCACATGTTTTGAATCAAGGTTTTGCAGCTCCCTTAGATAGTCGTTCATGTCCACCATTCTGGTTGTAAACGCCAGACGTTTTTGCGCTCCTTTTTGCTTGTGTGAGGAAAACGCCTGCCGTTCAGACGCATTAAATATGACATACCTGTCAGAGGCTATGAACGTTTGGTCACATGAGAGCATTTTGGAGAGAAAGACCAAAGTTTACCCACGCTCAACCATACCACGTCGCTTATGGGGCTTGATTCAAATTTTCACAATTCTGTACTAATTATCCAACTTATCGTTCTCTTATTACATCTAAATTATGTTTTTATTGATATACGCACTGATTAGTTTACTTCATCGATCGTGTGTTGTTCTTTGTCTGGATATTCTACTTTTAGTTGCTAAAATATGGTCTAGTTAGCCCAAGAAACGTACTCAATAGAACCTTGAGACACTCTGGTTGCACAAAATCTGACGAACCAGTTAAATCTGAATTACAAGAAGCCTTATTGAACGCTTTAAGTCAGTTAGATCGCTTGAAAAGGTATCGTTCAACACAGAAAACACGTATGGATCAACTACAAGAACGATTGGATCATGTAGGCAGTGAACTCGATGCCAGCGTGGATACTATTCGCTACCATCAGACAAATTTTGAAGCACACAAACGTAGATCTGCAATGGAAACTGCTAATTTACGTAACCAGCTAGCTAAAACAACTGCATTGTTAGAGCAATACAAGTTATTGGTTAGTAAGGCTAACCTGATCACATCGACTTCATTAAGTCAAAATATGCGAGGTATGTCTCTGATACTGTGTTATTCATTATGCTTTCATTGTTCTTATTTGTCTCCATAGCATTTTGATGTAATTGTGTTCTCTGAGCTGGATGGCTTATTTGCGAAGCTTTCATTGCCCTATTAGGCAACATCTTCAGTGCATACTTCATTTTGAAATGAGCTTTTTGATTTCTCCACAACTACATCGAAATCATCCACCTGGGCTCCAAATCTTCTCTACAGCATTTTGATTAAACACTATTTGTTTTAAGTAACACTCTGGTGACAAAACTGTTAGTTCTCAAGTAACTTGATGCTTGCATTGGTTTGGTGATTGAATTTCCCCTTGTCTGAGGTGATTCTCCCATTCTGCCCTTGGTATACCTTACTTAGTAATCTTGTAACTCATTGGTTCAGACAGTCAGTTGTCAACCAACGTGTCACAAATTCGAACTCGTCGTCATTGTCTAACAAGGTCTTGATAATTAGGTAGTAACATCTCAATGAACATTAAATGTTGTTTGTTTCCTAGTTCATTAACGAATGTGTGATGTAGCGAGAATATTCATTCAGACATTTAGAAAAAAATTGAGCAAACAGAATCCATTCATGGGTGTATTCTGTTTCATCTCGTAGATACAGAAAACAAGATTAATGTTAACGAGGCTTTCAAAGTCATCTACAAACTAATCTTAACTTTGATTGCATGGGGGATTTCATCATGAGCTGACATCAGTTGGAGAACCATTGGAAAACCTGGAAGTACTGGACAGTTGTTTCGTCCTATTTTGGGACTCTTCACAGTACGCACCCACCGAAGTTCGAACCCAGGACCTTCTGGTTACAAGGCGAGCTCGTAGACCATTGAGCCACTGGGACCTGATCCAATGGTCCTTGAATTCTAACTTCTGCTGAAGAGTCCCAAACTAGAACGAAACAACTATCCATTACTCCCAGGGTTTACAGTGGTTCTCTAACTGATGTCAGCTCATGATTATATCCTGCATGCAATCAAACAAAATCCATACAAATCCAATACTTGATAATCTTAACTTTATCTTAAGAGTTCGTCTACTACATATTGCTGAGGCTGGCCATTGGGACCCATATTAAGAAATCTAGCTTGTGTATCCAAAAGAAGCTGGTTGGTTCAGACCTTGTCCTTACCACGCCGGCCATCAAGGATTGAATGTTCCTCAATTTGTTGTGGAAATTCCCTTAATTTTATTTGATATTCTATTTGCTATTACATTTTTATGCTTATTATAATTAGTGCATCTTTCGTGAACTGTAATTCCACTGATCTTACTTAACAAACCGATATTATTTGAAAAATCACCAATATTGTTAATGACGATTGTTTTGAATTACTTGTGTTCTCTCAGCTGGTTGATTTAATTACGAAGCTTTCGTCGTCCTTCTGGACAACATCTTCAGTGCAGGTTTTAGTATAAAATGAACTTATTTAAATTTTCTATGGATGATAGAATTGTGTTTCCTGGCAGCCATCTTCGTGACTGGTAGTTGATTTGCATCTGTATTGGTCATTTTTATTGACATGGAATTTGGACTTTATTGCCGTATGATTTACTTTTTATTGGCTGGTTAATTTGGTCTAAAGTGTAATGTGTTTGTTAATTGCTGATTCACTTGAATGCCAGGCTTCTAGAAATTCCCTGGCACTGTTGGTGTTTCCTCTGTTTGGAATTTCTACATTGTCCCAATCATCAAACTGGTCTCCCTAATTATCTACATGCATTGATATGAAAGAATATATATATCATGTCTTTTTACAGCCAATTTGTGATCGTGGATTCTGATTCGAAGGGGACGCCCATTTTGACCGACGTAATGTCTGTTACAGTTTATACAATTTATTTTGTAAATGGTATTAATTTTATCTTCTTTTCCTGTTGGATCTTTCGGCTTTCACAATGTCGAATGAAGTGATTGTGCTGGCTTGTGTGCTACATCTCTTTCAAATGGTTTTCATATTCTAGCTGTTACATATGGTAGGATGAATTTTCTTGTAGTTTTTGATGATAGTTTCTTGTTGGTGTTGTGATTTGATTTTAAACACTTTTCAATGAAATTGTGAGGATATTCATTCCTTTTGAAAACGATTAGCAGGTCTTTTTCCTCAATTCTCTTCAACACTGGAGTGCTACAGTTTGTTTAAACTCTCTTAAACAATGTCTGCACGCAGTTCCGTTTGTGAGTAAATTAATCAGCTCAGAGAACACAACTAATTCGAAATCATCCCCCTGGGCTACAAATCTCTATTATTTCAATGACAGCTATTCTAGAATATCCTGTGTATATAGACACATGTAGGATTGTAGAGCCAGAAGAGGGAATTATCGAAGAGGATATTTTTTAAACGCTTTTTTCTGCATGTCTGATCATCAAGTTGATGCTATTCATATCCGTAACATAGTTGTAATTGAATGGAATTTCTCTTGATATTAAGGCATCCATATTTTCTTGGTATACAGAAATAAAATGAAAGTATTCACTTGCTAGATTTAGTTCTCTTTATAGGTCACCAGTTACACAGGTTAGGCAGAAGACAAGGGCCAGGCAACAGATCGTTTATTGAGAAAATCAAGAGATATTTATATATTTTTATGTACATTATTGTCAACAGAGAAGCAATGTCTTCTGATTGGTTGTCTTCTTGCTGAAGGTTATTGTACACTGCTTGTGACCGTTTCTCAGAAAGCTAAGCCATATATCTGCGAATCGTATTTGCTCACATTAAGTCTGTTGTGATTGGTTGTTGAGTTCCTCAAGGTTAAGCTTTGTTATTGTTTTTCTCATGATCCCGATTCGGGAGGACGTAAATTGTTGTCTACAATTTTGGCTTGCAGCCAGCTCTCACCGAACCAAATAGCGCTGAACTAGGGTAGGAAATCATCAAATACTTAGTGCACTCGGTTTTGAGATCTTATCATTATGTAGGTCCATATAAGTGACATACATTTTCTGAAAGTACCACCACTGGTAAAAACAGGTTTCATTTCACACGATAGAACCGTATCACTTCGTGTAAATGCTTAAACTGCTTTAATTTTGTTTTTTAACCTTTAAACTTACGAGTTTGACCATGGATTAATATGTGTTAGAGGACCATTGAAAATCAAGGAGCATTGGACACCTGTTTCAACCTAGTCTGGGAATCATCAAGAGTACGCACCCACCAACAGAGTTCGAACCAAAGACCTTCCGGTTACAAGGCAAGGTCGTATACCATTCAGCCACTGGGACCCGACTCATCAATGGCCAGCACACGAATTCTAACTTCTACCAATTTGTGATTTTATTTTTGGCGCGACCACCTACCAATATGATTGGTGGGAACTCCATCCTCATACTTGACTGGATGGACCTCACTGGTCACAACTTCTCACTTTTCAATGGTTTTCTAACTGATATCAATCCATGTTTAAACTCGTAAAAATAAATCTAATCCTTAAAAACCAACTCTTTAAAATTTTAACCTTTTGTTAAGGTTTTATAATTATTCATTAAATATTTACACATTATTTATAGCTCTTATAAACAGTTCAGTTAATAAAGAAATAAAGAACCTACAGACCCATGATGAACTACAAAATATGGATAATCTTAGTATTGATGATTTAAAACTGAAATTGTCAATTTCTCAAAATGAACTAAATCAGTTACGGTTAGATATAGTGCATCAAAGAGAAGATGCTGATCGTGAAGCCTCGAGACTTCGAGGTCAATTGGCTGAGGTCACCTCAGATGCACGAGCTCTTCGAATCCAGTTAAATCGGCTTTTATCTCAAAATGTTTCATCGAATAAGGCTACTGGTTTAGAAAATACCAACTGTCCAGAAACTGTCAGCTGTTCGAATTGTCAAAAACTTCAACGTCTCAATGATCTACTACAAAGAAAACAGTCGAAAATGAATCCTATTCCTGATTTGATCACAGATCAAGGCAATATGATGAAGTGTAACAATGGCGTCTCTGAGAATTGTATCAACACGCAAAACAAGAGTTATATCCGAAAAACTTTGGATAATTCTACGCAGACAGATGTATTAAGTTGTGTTTATCTTGAAGACAATGTTTTAAAAGTGGACACAGCTATTGATCCTGTCGATACGCTTACAGATAGTTTTTTGACAAACATACCAGTTTTAAAATGCAAATCCACTCAAACTGAATCGTTTCTTATGATGAGTAAGTTTTAATGCTTGTGATATTATCGTGAAATATCTTATTTTTTTGTTTTGGTTCATTGGATTGTAATGCGTGAATAGAAACAAATTTTTAGTGTAATCCTATAGCATTAACCCATTTGTATTTCCTAGTAACGAAGCAGACTATACTACTTATGTACTCGAACTTACTTGAATCTAAAGGCTAATTAACAATTATTCTCAGAGGACTCAATTTCTATTTCTGCTATAGAAGTGATTTTATTTACCGTCGATTGAGTCCCTCTAATCGATTTAGAGCTCTCAACCAATATAATTATTTCAAGTTCGATCACAGATTGATGTCAGTTGGAGAAGCATTGGAAACCAGGAGGTACTGGACATCTGTATCGCCCTATTCCGGGACTCTTCAGCAATATACCTTTTAACCGGAAAGTCCTGGGTTTGAATGTCGGTGGGCGGGTATTGCTGAAAAGTCCCAAATTGGGGCGAAACAGCTGTTCAGTGCTACCTGGTTAGGCTAAGTTCCTAAAAATATTCATAGGTATGGCATCTTGGCCAGGAAAAGCAATAAACTCACTAAATTTTAAATATGTAGTGATTTAGACAGCTGTAGCCTATGTTACTTTGATATGTGATGTTAGTTCGGGTAAAGACTGAGGTGGAAAAGCTTGAGAAAGTGATCATTGCATAAATTCATGGGTATTCAACGACAGGTGTCCTGGAAATGATGTCAGTGGATGCTTGAATCTTCTAAATTGATAGCTTGAAAAGTAGCTCGGTGATACGTATTTTCACTCCTTGTCATTACACTCTACCTTTTTTTATTTGTACTTTCATTTTCCATAGTAATTTTTGTGTTCTTTATGTCCAATATACCATCATTTCACTACAAGTTGTGTGACCTAGAAAAATTCATGCTTTAATTCATTTTGGGTACTGCTAAAAGACTTCTTTGTGCTTTTGAGAAGTACACAACAAGATGAATTAGTATACACGTAAGATTGAGACATTTCTATCTTTTAATTTACATATATCTGTTTGAATGACATCTTATCTTACGTACTCACGGAAACTCATAGTTCTCAGTCATCTGATAATGATCACCTATAGTTCCGGTAATTTAACTTTCATTTAAAATATTTTCCTATAGATGGTGACATATTACCGTCTGAATCCAATCTAGCCGGTGAAATATCTTTAATGGGTGAAATTATGAGATATGGTGGCGGCGTAAGTGAATCGACTGTTTTGAAAGGCCTACCGAATGATCATCATACGTCTACGTCTAAATACAATTCATTGGAGTCCGCAGCATCATCTTCTCTGAAGAAATTTGAAGCTCGTACTGTCAGCAATTGTCAAGCTTTATTAGTGCAGTCGTCAGCTAATGACTTAAAACATTCTGATTTGAGTAGTTTGAATGAACCGGCCAGTGAAGAAGAAGAAGACTGTTCATATTCTGTTTTGCTGCGTCGATTGAAAGCAGCTGAAGAGGAAGCAGCGATGGCGATGGATCAATTGAAGTCAAGCAATGCAGAGTTTCTTACTTTAAGAGAACGATTATCGCATGCAATTGTAGAGCGTGCACATTTAAAAGAAACTATTGACGGATTAGATGAACAGGTTAGTGTTATATATTTTATTTTCAAAAACAATTACTGACAATCTTAAGCCTATTGAATGTGAAAGGCTAATCCGTATCCGATATCGATTATTCTTACTACTTAAAATCCATGAATTAATCTGATCCTTAAATCTTCATAGTCATTAGGTTTCTCAGTGATGCTACTTTTGTTTAGAATTTGAATTCATTCCAGGGAATAGAATGCTCTTGAAGTCTTTAAAACTTTATCCCTACGTCATATCACTTAACGGATTTGTTCTCACAGCTTCCTGAAAAAACTGAATGTGAATTTGAGTTTGTCTAAATGTTAGTTTCATGTAGTATATGCAACATCATTAGGTGACTCTTTGTAGAATCTTTTAGATTATTTCTTTCTGTAATTAAAGGCAGTCCTCGTACTCTTGGACATGTATTATCAATTGACGACAAGATCCCGAAGATATAAGGAATCCAAACTGGTCAAAATATTACAGAAAATAATATTACTGTTGCTTCTATTAATGCTACTGTTATTACTCCTAGGAATAATAAAATAGTGGTAACAACAGGAAACAGTTGAACAAGACAAAGAGGCGATTGATTTATTCTGTTTAAGAGTTTTCGGGACATTAGTAAATAATTGAGGTCATTTAAAGAACTATTAAAAATCAATGTCTACTGAACGTGTATTTTAATATATGTGTAAAACTTCGGCATTGTGGTAGTAAGTAATTCCATATTAGTGTGTTTATTAGATATATCACACAGTGAAACAGTACTATTATTTACTGGATGACGTTTCGAACAAAATTTATTGTTCATAATCTTGTGAATTACAATCATACTATTTCGAAACTTGAGTTTTATAGTTTTCTATGTTCTCTTCTATTTGTCGTAGGGGTAGTAGGATTTTCCTAATATCTGGGACAGGTGTTTAATCATTCCTAATACATGTGTTTGCTGTTGATTCGATAAACAAAGCTTCTGTTATCAATCTCTCCCTCCCCCTTTTACTCTAGATTTTAAAACTATCATCTTATCGCATACTATCCTATTGTATGGTTGTGTGTAATTGCATGTAGTGAGTGGTATAGCTGAACAATTCTCCAGATTTCTTATCTTATTCCGGTCCACTAATCTAGATTTTGCTAGGTTTTTATGCTCCGGTAGTCTGACTGACCCCGTTCTACTACTTTGACTTATGTATTTAACCTGACAATCATTCCATCAGGGTATTAGATAAACTAAATTGTTTTGTTTTAAAGGCTCCATAGGATTAGTCCTTTAACCGTCAAAGCTTGTTTCTAATTGAGTTTGTGGGTGGTTGAATGCCAGCCAATTTTATTCCTGTCTTCTTAAGAATTCTGCCTAATGTCTTCGAGGTTCCTTCTTTGTATGGAAGTACTACTAATGATTTAGATTCCTTATTAATGGTGTTGTCATTATCCTGCGCATGCTTGACATGCATGTCGTCATTAATGTTACTACTATTATCATTATTATCACTATCGCTATTTCTTTTAATTTTACATTTTCCTACATACTTCCTGATATAGTCGTCAGGGTAATTATTAAGTTTCAAAGCTTCTCTTATATGCCTCACTTCCTGTCTTAGATTTTCTTTGGTTTGTGCTCTATTATTTAAGCATTTCACCAATCCTATAGGATGGGATGATCGGAAGCCCAAATATCTGTTTGAATGTGTGGGTTTCCTGTAAACACTAGTGTTTAACTTTCCATCTTCTTTCCTTTTTACGCTACAATCTAACATTAGAAGTTCCCCTTCCTGACTTTTCAATTCATAAGTGAATTGAATTGCCTCCACCTTTGAATTAATGTATTCGAAAAATCTATCTATATCCTGTTTTCTTAGTACAATGAATGTGTCATGTACATATCTCCACCATAGTTCGACTTTGGGTGGCGCTGAACGTTTCAATCGCTATGTTTTCCCACCTATCCATGAATATATCTGCCACAATCAGGGATATTGGTGACCCCATGGCAGCAACTCCTTCAGTTTGTCTGTATATTTTCCCGTGGAATTTAAATATGCGTGTTTTAGTCCAGTTTAGCACTTTTCACTAGTGCGTACGCACAACACCCTATTTTTTAATTTTTTTTATCATTTCACGTTATTCAGACACTAGATTAAAACGCAATAGTTAACTAATTTTTGCATAAAATGTAAGACCAACTAATGGTTACATTGTTCATAACACTTAAGCCTTTGTGTGTTGACATTTAAAATTATCGATCTGCATATTTTATTTAACACTGTTCAAAATGCAGTACTTATCATATACTATATACTACTTATTGCTATCATATAAAGCCGAAAAGTAGATTTCTTTTGAAGCGCGTTACCTAAATAAAAGGTGAGCTAGTGTTTATTTGTGTGGTGAGAGCTGGCTGCTAGCCAAAGTTGATAGACAGTAATTGACGTCAATGTTTATGTCCCCAATATTGGTCGTGAGAAAATGACAACAAAGACTTTGCGTAGGCGGATACAATTAGAAAAGGATGATCGGACACAGACACAAAGAGATGCAAGGTTAACTTTCTGTGAGAAACAACCAATCAAAAGACTGTATTTTCTACTAACAATAATCTACAATAATGTACATCAAAATCTCTAAATATGTGTTGATTTTCCCTAAGAAATGATCTGTTGCCTGGCCCTTGTCTTCTGTTGTTACACTTGGAATTTTATGTGATGACAAACTCACTTCAAAGTTTATCTCCGTCAAAGTGTCTCTTGAGTTGAGACCATTTAAAAAATATTTTTCAATTATCGACATTTCGAGTAATTATCCTTGTGCATATTTTATGTTGGTTACTAATCGGACTTATAACGTTTGTATTTCATGAATAAAATTGAAGGTTTCATGGGCATAAATCATTTATTTCTTTTGGTTCTGATAACTTATATAGCTCTGTTTTCAATTTTCTGCTGAAAAAAAACGCTTTCTTACCACTGGTTTCTGAATTGTAATTAAATAGGTTACTTTACTTGAAGAATCGTTGTATGAACGTACACAGGAATTGCACAAGTGTCAAACACTTCTTGAGAAGCATTGTCCTACCTACCAAAAGCCTACATTTTCAGATTCTGGTTGCTGTATACCTGAGCCAAAATCATCGTAAGTTCGCAATTTCTACTACTACTGTAATAAAGACGAATTGCCAATCTCTCTTATTGCACTTTTTTATTCCTTTTCCTTCCCTGTGGAACATAGGGCTTGAAGTTTCGTTACTAGTGATGTTTATTTTTACATGATGGGGTTCCTAGCCTCATGCCCAACCTTCCCTCTTTACCAGTCTTATTATTGGCTTAGCGATGTAAAAGAGTACGTCCGTGGTCGAGGATCGAACCGCGGTCCACATGTGGCGCGGTTGGCGAGCATTCTACCTCTGTGCCACCGACTCGCACTATGGATGCACTGCATCAACTTAATTATCTGTACAAGCAGCTTTATAGTTCAGATGAATTTACTTGAATTCTTCACTGTCTGTATGATCTCGTAAAATCAGTGCGTATTTAAGTTCTTCACCTTATACCGGGTCGTTTCAGAACGGTGGGATATTTAAACAGAATACGCTCCCTTCAATATAATTTCACTATTTTGCAGACATTCTAGAAGATAAATTTGGGACTGTGTCAATACTGGGATGTAACACGTATACTTTTGATTGGACACTAATCAGTAACTAGTGTAATGTGTCTAGTCCTCTGTTTGGTGCAGACTGAATTCAATCAGTCAGGTTTGCAATGTGGCCACCATTCTGGGTGGCTTGCCACTACGGCGCACTTTGAATTGCTGATATTAGATGGTCGGAGGCAATCGGCCACAGGAAGCCTTCCACCTAGGTTTCGTGCTAGTTGGCACTCACAACTCAGCAAGGCGTATCTGCAACTGCCTTGAAGGAACTCATGTCCCTTCTGAGATTCGAATCCGCGTCACCCAGGGAGCGCTGCAGTCAGAGACGTTACCACCGAGCTATTCGGGCTAGCGATTGACCTCATGTATGTCTGCATTAAGTACTTTTGATTGGACACTAGTTAGTAGCGCGGGTTCGAATCCCAGAAGGGACATGAGTTCCTTCACGGCAGTCACAGATACGCCTTGCTGAGAAGTGCCAACGAGCACAAAACCTAGGTCCAACTCGGCCTGTCAATCACCTCCAACCATCTAATATGTAATAGATATGCCCTATGAACTGATTATATATTCATAAGTAAAAACACAGTTTTTGTTCAGCGAAGAAATTTCTTTTCAACGACTTCATTTTCAAGCTGTACAGTCGTATTTATATTACAGAAAAGGTTCAAAAACGTTTTGTCAAACCCCTTTCTTTACCTTGGTCATAGTAATGTTCTTTCTAGTTTTTACTTTATTTTATTTTACCACTTGAATTCTTTCCACTTCACTTCACATCTTCATTCTAATCGTAATCGTACTTTTATTTTATAAAATATTTTAGACAACACTTGACCTTTTTAAAACATTTTTCAATTCACTTATAAAACAATCTTTAATAATTTTGTAATTTATCCACTTCAACTCTACCCCTTATAACATTTTAATAATCGTTATTCTTATCACATATATGTATATTGACTGAGCAATTATTTAGTGCCACTTAATGACCTTTTCTGTAATATAAATACGACTGTACAGCTTGAAAATGAAGTCGTTGAAAAGAAATTTCTTCGCTGAACAAAAACTGTGTTTTTACTTATGAATAAATGGGTATTTTTCGTGATTATATATTAACTAAATTCAAATCTAAGATTGATATGTAGATTAAATCTGGCGGAAATTTTTCAAAACAAATTTTTTCGTCTCATGATATTGTCAAAGTGGAAATAAATGCAGAAACTGGAGCTCAAAAATTTATCCGTTGTGTTTAAAAGTATAAAAATCGACTGAAAAGGAGACTAACACAGAAATTCGGAAAGAAGTGTATCACCTGATTAGATGTTCATCTTGTGCAACAGCTTTAGGAATTAAACAGATATATAGACCATGTGGTAGACGGACTTTGAAAGACGAAATAGTTCCTTAAGGGTTGGGGTGAACATTTAAATGCCTGTCTTCTGTTGATATTCAACAGAAGATGACCGGAAAGATGAGTAGCAAGGATCTCTGGCAGGGAACCAACCCATATAGTACTGCTCAACATATATGTAGTAGAAAATTAAGATAGATCAGATATACGCTGATCAGATCTCCAAGTGACATTACGTATCAGGCTGTCTAGGGGAATCCGAATGAGGAGCAACCGGTTAGGTGTCTAAGGGCGTCATGAAGGAGATCATGTGGAGAGAAATAAAAGCAACTGGGCAGTCTTGGAGCCAGTTGCAAATGATGCCAGAGAAACGAGTCCAATGGAGATGTGTATTGTTAGCATCAGTTTTGTTGCTCCAGTTGGCGTTAACAAATAATCAGTGAATGCATGATTTGGTTCTATACAGAGTTCTGGTCATCCCTAGCTTCCCTCCAGCCTAAGGTGGTTACTTCACATACTCGTGCTTGTCAAGGAACGGATGGGTAAAAATTATGCGCACCATCTTATGGCTAAATTCAAAATAGCCCTTGTGTTATTTCGTAATACACAAGCAGTAGAAGAAAGACACTTAGTCAAACATCTTTAATTCTCTCACCCTATCAGCAATCAATAGTTGCGTAATATCCATATTATAGTAAGCACCGTTAGTTTTAATAAGCATTCGTTTTGCCATCCTACACTTTTGTCTAACCTTGCCTGGTTCTCTTGATTGCTTGCTCAAACAAATACAGTTTCCTGTAGCGGGGAGGCAATTGTTAAATTATTTTTCAAGTATTGGTTTTGTAGGGATTTTGTTTGATTGCGTGGAGGATTTCATCATGAGCTGACATCAGTTAAGGAACCACTGGAAAACCTGGGAGTACTGGACAGCTGTTTCGTCCCAGTCTGGGATTCTTCATCAGTACGCACCACCGGGATTCGAACCCAGGACCTTCTGGTCCAGTACTCCCAGGTTTTATAACATCTCGGCGAAATTGAAATGAGTAATTCCAACGTTTCCTGCGTTCGGCAAACCGGTCCGAAATTCTTCAGGGAAATTAATCGAAGTTAACATTACGGAGGTTTATATATAAAAGGAACATCTCTTGTTTTTAAACTTTGTCCACTCATGAGTCATGAAACAGACATCAACATGTATAATAAACAATGGTTGGGGTCGCGCTAAATCACGAATTGGTAGAAGTTAGAATTCATGAGCCATTGAATCGGGACCCAGTGGCTGAATTGTATACGAGCTTGCCTTGTAACGGGAAGGTCCTTGGTTCGAACCCTGGTGGTGGTTGCGTACTGCCGGTGATTCCCAAACTAGGATGAAACAGTAGCTGTCCAGTACTCCCTGGTTTTCAATGGTTCTCTAACTGATATCAGTCCGTGATCAACTCGTAAAAAGTAAACAAAATTGTATGAACTGTGATCAAAATTTGACCTCAGACTTTCTAAATTAGTCTACTTTTATAGGTTTCCAGGCCGTAGGTGTTACGAAATTCCTGGAATAATTTGAGCGCCGAGTCAGACTGATTCAATATAGATTATTTAAATTAATCCCAGCGTGTTAAGAAAATCAAAACAAGATTTTTCTGAACGTTTCGCTGTGTAAGCCACAGCTTCTTCAGCAGATTTATCATAAATTTATTCATAAATCTGCTGAAGAAGCTGTGGCTTACACAGCGAAACGTTCAGAAAAATCTTGTTTTGATTTTCTTAACACGCTGCGATTAATTTAAATGATTTATGAAATAATAGAGAAGATTTGTAGCTCAATTTGCAATTGATTTGCAATTAAAATGATTTATAATTAGTCTACTTTTGTTAAAATATATGTGTATATGCAGTATACAATGGTGTGTGTGTGTGTGCATGTTTGTGTGGATGAACAGTCATAAAACATTTGTTAGTCTCTCCATAAGAATATATGCGTAAAACTGTTCAAACTGTCGGGATTCACCCATGAACAGACGTGAAGGTGTGGTGTCAGCTGACGCATGGCGAATCCTGACTAATAAATACAAAATTGGATATGTATCAACAATTAATCATACTTGCTCGAAATTCCCACTTGTCTACGTCTTCTTATGGAGAGGCTAACAAATGTTTTATGACTGTTCACCCACACACACACCATTGTATACTGCACATACACATATATTGTAACAAAAGTAGACTAATTTTGAAAGTCTGAGGTGAAATTTTGATCACAGTTCATACAATTTTGTTCATTATACATGTTGATGCCTGTTTCATGACTCATGATTGGACAAAGATTTTAGAAACAAGAGATGTTCCTTTTATATATAAGCATCTAGATGAGGAGTCCCAAATTGGACGAAATGCGCATCCTGGATTCCACTGCTAGTCACCATCCGCCAATTAAAGTCTGTTATGTTAATTTCGATAAATTCCCCTGAAGAAGTTCGGACCAGACTGTCGATCGAAACTTTGGAATTAACCGTTTCAACTTCACTGAGATTTTACAAATATACTTATTTAGTGTAGTAGTCATTTTCAAATTTTTAACCTCTGCCTCTTTTAACGTTGATTTTACCAAGTGGTGATTATTTTATGTCAAGTGAATAGTGTCGATTCCACTGTCTTTTTTTCAGATAGAGTATACTACTTTACCACACTGTATATTCGATTTTGATCTTATGAATAAATTATCCTATCCTATCCTATCTCTTTTTTTCAGAGTACCACAGACAATTTCAAAACAGTTTCAAAAATCAAAGTTAACAAATCAGTATACAGTTGATTCAGCTATTATTGATTTGAAGGGGCTTCTTCAATCCTACCAGCCGCCACAAACATTTATTCGTTCGTCTTTCACGAGGTCAAACTATGTTAATCGACTCGGTAAGATTACAATTCATATTTTATTGTCTATTATACAGTAAACCATTGGTAGCGCCTGTATTCATTTAATGAGGATTCACCATAGCAGTTACTTTCATGTATTTGTGAGACGTTTAGGTGGTAAACGAATAGTACTAGTATAGCCTATCGCTAACATTACTATACGGATAAGAGACTTGGCGCATCATAAAGAGCATCTCAAACAAACTACAGACTTTCATTAACAGTTGTCTTCGCTCAATACCACTCAAGATCAGATGGCCGGCCAGAAAAGATCAGCAACAGAGATCTCTGGGAGGGAACCAACCAGGAACCGATTGTGAAACAAATAGGCAGGAAGAAATGGAGATGGATTGGCCATACTCTGAGGAAACAAAGCATCAAGTGACATCACTAGACAAGCCATTGCTCGAGTGGAACCCGAAAGGAAAGCGGCGAGTTGGTCGTCAGTGCGAGGGTGACTTGGAGGAGGTCATGTGAAGAGGAGATGAAAACGTGTGGGCACACTTGGAGCCAGGTGAAGACTCTAGCAAAGGACCGAACGCAATGGAGACGCACGGCTGAAGCCCTATGTTCCTCTAGGAATTAAAGGAAATAATAATAATAATAATAATTGCTAACATACAAATATACTGACAGATGTACTTAATTAGAAGTACTTAAAATTCATCAAGCCAACCCTGAAGGATTTGAAGTGAACACTCAAGTCCTTCTGTGTAAAAAGGAATCACCTCGCATGGTAGTATCTTTGAGGACTCAAATGAAATCATACAATTGGTTGTAACTTCTCCTATAAACTGTTACATGTTGATTTGTGTATTGGATGTATCAAGTGTTGGTCTGCAGGGATTTGACTGGTTTTTGAGGATTTCATCATCACGAACTGACATTGACTAGAGCACCATTGGAAAACCTGCAGGAAGTACTGGATAGCCGTTTCGTCCTAGTTTGACGCTCTTCATCAGTTCGCACGCACTAAAGTTCAATCCAAGGACCACCACGAAGTGGTTGTATATATATATATATATATCGTGAATCGGCAGAAGTTGGAATCCACGGACTGGCCATTGCATTGGGTCCCGGTGATAGAATGGTCTCCGAGGTCGCCTTGTAACCTTAGTGGGTGTACATTGCTGAGGAGTCCCTTACTAGGACGAAACGGCTGTCCAGTACTCCCTGCAGGTTTTCCAAGTTTTCCCTAAATGATGTCGACTCGTAATCAAGCGTATTGGATATATTACAGTTTACTGCTGATAATCCTATTGCTTATGTACAATAAGATTTGTTTGACCAAATGATATTCCGTTTTTCAGTACAGGTAATCGCTAACCTGATATAAAACCATTTTAGCGCTATAAACTCTACAATTTTAACCTAGTTAGCTATGGTTTCGAGTCCTTTTTACATTCATATCATGGTTTAGACAGCCAAATACTATGATTATGACTTGTCATGAAAAGCACTTACAAGCGAAAACCGACAAACTGGTCGAAGAAGCAGCAAAGACAGGACTCCAGGTGAACATAGACAAGACGGAGGTTATGAAAATAACCAACCAACAACAACCAGCAACATCCAGCACCAATCATCATCAATAGAAACGATTTGAAAGAGGTTACTTCATTCACTTATCTAGGGATCATTGTCTCAACTACAGGAGGGACGGACGAGGATATCAAATCGAGAATCGGGAAGGTGAGAAACACATTCATCAACCTGAAACCAATCTGGAAATCTTCGTCACTCAGCCTGCATCAACAACAAAATTCGGATTTTCAATACAAACGTCAAGTCAGTCAGTTCTTCTATACAGATCAGAAACTTGGCGGGTCACCAAGAATATTTCCAACAGCCTGTTGCAGACCTTTATCAACAACTGTCTTCGTTCTATACTGAAGATCAGATGGCCGGAAAGAATCACCAACAAGAAACTATGGGAACAAACAAAACAAGAACCAATCGCCCAACAAATATGCAGGTGGAAGTGGAGATGGATTGGACACTCGCTGAGGAGGCTTCTGGGTGACATCGCGCGTCAGGCCATAGCTCGAGTGGAACCCGAAAGGGAAGCGGCCAGTGGGACGTCAGTGCAAGGGTGACATGAAGGAGATCGTGTGAAGAAGAGTTGAAACAGTATGGACTAGCATGGATGCAGGTGAAAAGTACAGGAGAAGATAGAAGCAAGTGGAGACGTGCAGTTGAAGCCCTATATTTTACTAGGAACTCAAGGGAACAATAATGATTACAATATTCTACTGGAATGAGTACTTGAGGATAATTTTAAAAACATGTGGTGTACATTTTGACCGCTTCATGACAGCATATCAACATCTGCACGTAATGGTTGGAATTAAACGCATCACCGAGCCATTTCCTCCTCCTTACAGAGATCTGTCTCTTCTGTCCTACTAAGTCAAACAGCAAGAAATGGGAAAATTTAATAGCTCTTCAATATGTACTATTATTATTTTGTTGTAGTTGCATGTGGCGTGTGGTTTTGCGAAAAAGTCAGTAAGATCATTTATATTTCACATTAATCTTTGAATACGTTAAACTCTGTTACGAGTACTGAATGATGCGTTTTAACTTTATCATCATTATTGTTTTTTTCTTTTTCTCATAGTCAAAATGAATGATCGTATATCAGTTTGGTTGACATATTTGGCACTACTTAGTAAACAAGTGACTTCCAGACTATCTACTGGCATACAGTACACTTCATTTCGTTTACAAAGTCAACCTCGGCCCAAGCCAGTATTGATATGCCTAATCTACTTTCTTTTTATACACTTACTCTTATTACGTTGCTGGCTGTTCTAAGCCCAGTGTGTTGTTTCCCTTCCGTCGTCTATTTACCCCCGGTAGTCAGCATTATCATCCATTGCTGTGTGTGTGTGTGTATGTGTACATCAAACGTTGTGTAGTTAGTGACGTGTTACAATAAATGGGATGTTTCTGTGATATTTCGATAATATTTGTTTTATTAATTTATTTATTTAATATATTATTTTTTCGAATGATCATTTCGCTTTCTAAGGCGTATCTCATTAAACCTGACAACAACCATTGTAATTATAAGTTCTTTCTTCCTTCAAAACGATATTTTAAAGAGCCTTGCTTATACCTATCTCAGTGTTATTTATTTGTGTTCTCTTATCTTTCCTGTGATTTTCATTGATCGAAATTTTTCAATAAATTAATATGTGTACAACACCATTGCGTGTGTGTGTTTTTTTTAAATTGTCATTGTGTGTGTGTGTGTTCATGTTCTATTTCATTGTGTGTGTGTATATGTCTGTCTATTTGTCTCTAGTAGATTATGCATGTGATAGACGTTAATATGTTCATGTCCACTTTACTTACTGAACGAGTTATTAACTGTTTGATATAGTTGTGTTCTCTGAGCTGGATGGTTCATATTTGCGAAACTTTCATTGCCCTCTAGTACTAGGCAATTTTTTGAAATGAGTTTTGTAGATTTCTCCATGAGTTTAGTAGTCATCTGTCCTCATGGGTGACCTTGACCGTGATTGGTTGTTTTTGTGTTGTTCTTTTTCACACCCTCTAGGCTATTTCTATAGGTTACAGGATTTCATCATGAGCTGACATTAGTTAGAGAACCATTGGAAAACCAACAAAGAGTACTGGACAGCTGTTTCGTCCTAGGTTGGGACTTCCCATCAGTACGCACCCATCGGGGTTCGAACCCAGGACCTTCTGGTTACAAGGCTAGCGAGTTCGTAGACCATTAAGCCACTGGGACCCGATCCAATGGCCAACCCATGAATTTTAACTTCTGCCAATTCACGATTTAGCGCAACAGCTATCCAATGTCTTCGGCTTGTATTTGTCCTCACACCCGACCTGTTGCACCCTACTGGTCACGACTTCCCATTAGAACCCCAGGTAACTACCTACCGGAATAGGGCCAGTCGCCAGTGAGCATCTCATTGATATTCAAGTATTGGTTTGTAGGGGTTTGGTTGAAAACCGTATATATACGATTGTACAGCTTGACGATAAATTCGTTGAAAAGAGTCTCTTCGCTGAATCACTTGTTTTGATTTTCTATATATGCATATATATATATATATACCGTGAATTGGCAGAAGTTGGAATCCACGGACTGGCCATTGGATTGGGTTCCGGTGGCTCAATGGTCTCCGAGTTCGTCTGGCAACCGGTTGGTCCTCGGATTGAACCTCAGTTGGTGCACATTGCTGAGGAGTCCATTACTAGGACGAACCGGCTGTTCAGTACTCCCTGTAGGCTTTCCAGTGGTCCCCTAACCAATGTCAGCTGATGATGAAATCCTGTAACCAATCAACCAAATCCCTACAAACCAACATTTGAATATTTGTATAGTTACTGATTGTTTCCTTGACTTAAAGTTTGACCTTTTGTCTGTGAGATTTCCATCTTATCGATTAGTAAATTTTGTCTATATTAATGTATCTATAGATCGACCATTCACTGGAATACCAGGCTTCTAAAAATTCTCTGCCGTTCTTGGTGCCGTTCCTCTGTCAAATATTTGAACGTTGGTTGCCCCAGTCGAATGTCGATGTCCGAGTTATCAACTGTGAAAAATTTCTTTCTATAAACTTATGGTTTATTCAGTGTGCTATCAGACCATTGAAGGCATAAAGAAGGTTTCTAGTCACCGATTTATTCCGCTACAGAAATATCTTCACTATAGTGATATCATGATATCAGCAAATTTCTGTTTCAGATCTTGAGTGAAGTTAATCTATCTATCCAGTTTATCATTTAGGTCATCTGAGTGTTTTATAAAAGTGAGCATAGTTACTAAATCATGAGTTTTTTATTCCTTCACGTTCCCAGTGGAACATAGGGCTTCAAGCTAGAAGCTTGAAGTTTCTGTTTCTGTGTTTATTTTTACAGGATGGGGTTGCTAGCCTCATGTCCAACCTTCCCTCTTCACCAGCATTATTTCTGGCTTAGCGAGGTAAAGGAGTGCGCCGGCCGGGGATCGAACCCCGGGCCATGTGCATGGTCGGCGAGCGTCCTAACCGCTATGCCACCGACGCGAATCATGAGTAAGATGGAACTACTGTTTTTATGTGTAAATGCGGTATATTGTTCAATTAAAGAAGCATTGAGGAATAAAGCAACCCGTCATAGTTAAATTGGTTTCATTTTACATCCATTTTCATCTTTTTTTTATTTATCTTGATCCTTAAAAGTATGTTGAATAGTGTTCATCAGTAGATGCGAAACCAATAATTGTTAGATGGTTGCGGGTAGTCGGCAGAAGTCATTGAACCTAGGTTTCGTGCAAGGCGTATCTGCAACTGCCTTGATGGAACTCACTACCCTTCTGAGGTTCGAACTTGGGCCACCCAGTGATGTAGTGAGAGACGTTACCACTGAGCTATTCTGAGTGACGATTGACCTCCTGTTAATTTAACTCATGCAATAACTAATAAATTTTCCACTTTTTCTTTTCCTCGTTTTGGAAGAAAAATGTCCAGTGTCAATGTTCAGTTACTAATTTACTATGATGATGTAACTTTTTCTTTCATTGCTTATTTTGATTACATGCCAGTTAGTAACTAGTGTAGTTTATCTGAATTCTATCAGTCAAGTTTGCAATATACAGCCACCATTCTAGTTGGCTCGCTATCTCGGTGCATTTTGAACTGTTGTTATTGGATGGTTGAAAGCGATCAGCAGGAAGCTTTGGCTGCACCTAGATTTCGTGGTAGTTGGCACAGTACAGTCCTACAGGGGATCAATCGCGAGTCCGAATAGCTCAATGGTAACACCTCTGACCGCAGTGCTCACTGGGTGACGTGGGTTTGAATTTCAGAAGGGACATGGGTTCCTTCAAGGCAGTCGCAGATACGCCTTGCTGACGACTGGTGACTACCAGCTAGCACGTTCTGATTGTCTCCAACCATCTAATATCTTTTATTGCTTTTCCAACTTGAACTTCTTCGATTACAATGTAGATATCATATTGTTAAGTAGTTGGAGGCAGTCGATATCTTTTATATGACTAATTTCTATATGTCCTTGTATATTTATCCGAAACATTCTACCTGTAGATTGTTTGTAAAGCAACTATATAACAAGACGGTGTATGATAACTAGTTCCACATTTTCTTTTAAAAAAATGTAAAATTTATATAAAAAGGGGAAAGAACACATAAGTTAGCAAAGAGGTCTCATGTCGTAACTTCAGTTCATAGCTGTGTAGGGCGTTTATATATTGCTTCTTGATATGCAGCCACATCAGAGACTACTCTCAAAGTGATATACAAAGTACGGTCAAGTCGTTTGAAAGGATTTCGTCTGCTTGCAGTTGAAGCCTTAGCAATCCTTAAGGAGAAACCTGAACTTTGTATTCAGAAACGTTTCATCCAGGCGCTTCCACCAACATAACCTTAGTACTATTTTTTTCTTCCTACTTTGTGATCCTGAGTAACTGTATATTGAGCTGTATGTAGTCCGCTTTGTTCTTTTCCACCTCAGTTTCAATCTTCTGTCGTCTTGTCTCTTGCCAACCATTTCCAAACCACTATTCACCACTCAACCAATTAGTCATTAACTCTCTTGATTACTTCAGACACTTTCCGATGAATTCATTCACTGAGCTATACAATCGAATTTATATGTGATCCTTTTGTGTGTGTTTGCGTATTAGGATTGTCAAACAAACATAAAAATTAGGTAGCGCTACCGCTTACGTCATCAAAATGTTTCAAAAAAGTGATGAACAATCAAAATATTAACTTGCAGTTGCGTAGGCGAAGATTGGTAAGTATTGACAAGGGTTGCGTATTAAGAAATAGAATGTTAATGGCGACATCTTAGTAACATCTGTTTCTTAGCCACCAACTCTTCATTTGTTATACCCCATACAAATGACGTTCACCAACCGCAAGTTGTTCTCCATCTCTGTAAAAGATAAGCTCCCCCGTCTGGCCGCCTCCATGTGCATCTATCAGTTCACCTGCTCTTGTGGAGCAAGGTATATTGGCCGTAGCCAGAGGACGCTTTCCACACGGATACGAGAACATATGCCAGCATGGTTATACAAGGGAGAAAGGAAGTGTGTGCGAGGCTCTATTCTAGAACACCTGATCGACTCCTGTCACTCTGCCAACCCTAACCATGATTTTAAGATCATCTACCGAATCCATGCTAAGTTGCCGCGTTTTCTTCGTTGCAGACTTCTAAAGACAGCGGAGGCCTTGGCAATTCATGACATCACATGTGAATCGACGTCTTTTCCACATGACAAATAACATACACTCACACACACACTCATACAGAAAAAAATATACGCAATAACAATTTGACACTAGTCATTACAAATATATGTGATGACTGCTTACATATTTCTATTCGTACAAATGTCTACCGGCAAGTGACCTTCAAATAAACTGACTTCAATTTATGTAAGAAACATTTTTTGACTATATATTTTGATGATTAATAAAATCCGAATAATTCTGCTGAAGAAGTTGTGGCAGCTTACACAGCGAAACGTTCAGAAAACAGATCTTGTTTTGATTTTTCTTAAACACACTGGAATTATTTTTAAATAATTTATGATGGTTCAATCTGACAATCGGCGCTCACATTGTTCCAGGAAATTCGTAACATCTACTACGGTCTGGGGACTTATAATCTTATTAAGGGTTATTAGGGTTATTGTTTACGTCATCAAAATGTTTCTAAATTGTGTGATGAATTATGATGAAATTTGTAACTTGGGTGTGTGTGTGAAGATTGGTAAGTATTGAGAAGGGTTGTGCGTAATATGAAATAGGATGTTAGTGGAGACAGGTGTCCTGAAGAGAAATTATGTGGTGGGTAGAAAGAGTAAACGAAGGGTTGGTGGTTAAGAAACAGATGTTACTAAGATGTCGCCATTATCATACTATTTCTTATTACGCAACCCTTGTCAATACTTACCAATCTTCACCCACGTACCCCGAAGTTACAATTTTGATTGTTCATCACTTTTTTGAAACATTTTGATGACGTAAGCGGTAGCGCTACCTAATTTTTATGTTTGTTTGACAATCCTAATGTGCAAATACACACCAAAGGATCATATATAAATTCGATTGTACAGCTAAGTGAATGAATTCATCGGAAAGCGACTCTTCGCTGAACTTTGTTGTTCTTATATTCATATCTGGATGGATATTTTCCTTGTATTGTTCCTTATTTTTCAAACAGATTGATTACTCATCGGCTTGGATTTTTTTTATATTGCTAACTGACTTTAACCTTTGACCTCTGTTGACAGTCTACATTGTGTGATATGAAATAAAAAGCATTCAGCAAAGAGTTGTTCTTTTCGGCAATATCACTCTCAAGCTGTAAAATCACAAAGGGAACATTTCCAAAGATTTGTCGTTTGAATTTTAATTTCAACCTAGTAAATTTCGTTAATGGGTTGGAAATTAAAGTAAGATTCAATAAGCCAGTTGAGTGAGGTGATCTAATTGGCGGGGTTGAGTAGAGCTGAGCTAAAATTAAAATTGAACAAAAGTGGGGGAAGGAAATATTATACAAACAAGGAAACAAAAATTAAACATTTGGTGTTGGGATAAGTCAGGTCAAGTGTGTAGATTTAATGACTGAACGAACTTCTTTTGTATGCAGAGTTCAGGATTTAGCACGTAAATTGCTGGCATTGCTTTTGCTCTGTTTGAAGAAGTTTCATTCGTACTTCTGTTTTCGCAAGATTCCCATGTATTCTATAGATAACTTTGAAGTTGTGTTGTGGGTTAGCTGGGTGTCGTGATTCGATTAGGTGTTCCAGAATAGAGTTTCGACAGAGGGGGACTTTTTTCTTCTCTATAAAACCACGAGGGCACAACCTTGAAGCGAAGTTACGAAAAGAGATCTCTTTACTGCCTTGTGTGTTCTTAATTAGTCGAGAGATGGAAATTTTTCATACTTTGAAAGGGAAAAAACGATACCGTTTATATAAATTTAGCATTAGAGATGATTTGCTTTCATAGCGGTAGACGCTAGTTGTGTTTCTTTTTCATGAATTAAGCTGTTTTCCAGAGAAGCAAATTCAACAGTGAATACTGTATATTCACGTAGCAGTTATACACCTGCATTTTTAAAAAAATTGCCATTAAGGTTTAGTTTCTATAGACGTGATCATCATACGGGGAAGTGGAAATCAAAAGTTGATATATATAATTAATCGAAATCTATGTTTGTGCATCATTGCACTGGCTTTTAATAATAAAGATAATAACGCTAGTATCTTTATTCTGGACAGTATTTATAAAATGTACAAAATTTTCAGAGGAGTTTATTACATTAAATTTTTCCATTCGTACAATATCTTCAAGTGGAATATTAATTGGCAGTTGTATATCGTGTGACACTATGGTCTCTGACCTGAAGCACAAACCATTCCATTATGATATACATATCTGCTTTGTCTCCTTCATTCAAGAAATCCACAATATCTAGTTGAAAGCCATTTGTAAGATGTTCAGAATATGTACATTTTGAGACTCAAGGACACACATGATTGAAGAACAGTTATCTCATGTATTGGAACCAGGCCATTCCTCAAGTTTAGTAGAGACTCGTGAATCAGAAGCTTATAAATAAGTAAATAAATAAATTTATTCTCATAGTATAGTACATGAGGGACGCCAGTTTACAGGCATCATCAAATTGTTACAGAAATAGAAACATATAATTCAATCACAATTTACAGGCGGTAGCAAAATGTGCTTTACATGTTCGCTGGAGATTATACATACGCTTGATAAATGTTAATCCCAGTAGTATAAAACAGCCTTTTCACTTATATACAATCATTTCTGTGCACAGTTGGAAAAATCTGCTAGATTGTCAGTGAGTGCAACATATCAGGAAGTACGGAAGTATTGTCTTCGCATTAACAAAAAAACCAGGTCTTTGGTGGATGGATTATAAGTGCCTGGGAAAAAAAAGTAAAGCTTGAAATCAATTTTCATACATAACTTTGTTGTGTGCAGAATCCTTGAATTATAGTTCATTGATGTGTTATTTTGAAATCAGTGATATATTTATCTCATTTGATCTGCAATGTCATTGTTGGGAGTAAATATACATAAGCTTTAGACGCATTAATTAATGGATTTCTACTGCTTGTGGGTATTTTCTTAGCGTGAGGAAGGTTTATGAATTTCAGCTGTTCCGACAAGAGTAGATAATACCATAAGAGGTGATGTCTTAATCGATTAAATTAAACCGAACGAGAAAAAATATATGCAAGAGAGAGAAAGAGAAATGGAAGTTTTTTGGTAGCCGCAGTTTTAAACAGGCCGCCAATTATTTATACTTGAACTTGGTCATACCTTTAATACTTCTCAATTCATACTTCTGGTTCCTCAGCCAGATTCCATGAAGAACAATTAACAGAAACTTTCTACCTAATCGTTTTTCTGCCTATATATTTGTTATCTTCAAGCTAGAGAAATAAATCAATGAATAAACAAGGTTATGCCCCAAAACTAGGATTTAAATATAATAATTTCCCTATATTTTTTGATTATAGCTTGATTCCACACCGTATTTTCGGTACAAATATGGAATTTTCAGCATGTGATAGCGGTAGCCAGATTTTGCCAGCCGACCATTGATATCAGGTGTTGTGCGTCGGCAAGGGATCGAACCCCGGACCATGTGCATGGTCGGCGAGAGTCCTAACCGCTGTGCAACCGAACAGTAGAATAATTTGTCAAATTCTGTTATTCTCTTTTACGAATCGACTAGTTGGCTTTATTGTGTACACTACCTATAAATGTTTAAAACAATTTCCGAGTTTGAATTCAGATTCACTGTTTTAAAAAATGTACCATGCGGTAAAAAACACACCCAGTGTGGTGGTACTTGTCTTTATTAAATTATGGTTAACCAGATATCATGTGAATATGCACTTTTGCAGGTGATGGTTTGCACCTAAAGTACTTAGTTTTCACTACACAATGTGGTTTATAATGAATGATGTATCTTTAGTTTCCTCTGTAGAATAGAGACAGAGAGAGGAATTATGAAACGGCATTTTCTGTGTCCTACTGTAAAACTACTGAAACAAAAATGTTCAATTCAAATGGCAAGTTGTCAGAAGTTTTCTAGTACAACAATCGACGAGGAAGAAGCTGTAAAGTTTAAGCGTTTCTCAAATTATTGGTGGGATCTCAACGGTGAGTTGTTTTTTACTGTACTGCTTATATTACATTCTCAAAAAATTACTTCTTTTGTGACCAGTGGGGTACAGCAGGTGGTTGGGTGTGAGGACAAATACTCGCCAGCGATGACATTCGCTAGTGGTTGCATCGTATCATGAATTGGAAGTTAGAATTCATAGACTGGCCATTGGATCGGGTCCCAGTGGCCTAATGGTCTACGAGCTCGCCTTGTAACCGGAAGGTCGTGGATTCGAACCTCAGTGAATGCGTACCGATGAAGAGTCCCAAATTGGGCTGAAGAATTAGCTGTCCTCTAATCGATGTCAGTTGATGATGACATCGTCAAACCAGTCAAATATTGCAAATATTACTTCTGTTTTATTGAGTTTTGTTATAATAAGGTTAGACATAGAGTAAGGAGAGAGAAAACTAATTATTCAATGAGATTGTGAAGCTGTATCATTTAAGATAGCGAGGACATGTGCTTACCATGCCAAACCACTGCCTGTTCTAACCGCTAATATTAACTGATACAGGATTCGATTGACAAAGAGTCGTGGTTGGTGAGGTGGAAACATATCATCAATCAATAAAATGCTTCACTTGTAGCTGGAACCACTTAGGGAGATGTAGATTGCCTGACTGAGGTTCTGGAGATGCTATGAATCAGTTATTGAAGATTGTTCGTGAAATGTCTCAAAACCGTTCTCACTAGCGTGTATATGTTCATTCCTTATCATCATACAGATTCTTAATATCCAGTAATTTTCAAGCAATTATTTCCTTAGTACTTCCACTTTCTTTCTACACTTATATGTGCTTTACCGAAGTGAGGCAACATTATCTGGCACCATTGTGTACAAACTTCTGCGGGTTAACTCAGGCAGTTGTGATTCGTAGTCGTTATCGTTATATACCTCCAAATAACTTGTTGGTTATCAAAAGCTTCTTTAGTAATTCGATTCACCGAAAAATTAGTCAGGTCCAGTATGGTCAACAATATAAGTTTGGCTGATAACAGCTGAAATTTGCTTTTATTTGCAGTCACTTCATCATACAGTCATATTGATATATTAGTATTTCCTTGGATTCTGAATGGAACTCAGCATTTCAGAATCACATCGTGTTCTCTGCGATCCTTTCTGTCTGGTTCCACGATTACCCATAGACTGTCATCTATCTCTCACCCTCACACGATTCCTTCCATGTCACGCAAGGACACAGGCACAAACTCTCTGTTTCTCATTCAGGTTCCGTTCGAGGACTGTGGCCTGTCGTGCGATGTCCGACCCATCTCCACTTTCTTCA